AGCGGCTCACTGGAACAGAAGGTCATTTCAGCACACATTCCTCTTGGACTCCGACTCAGTCATGTCGCACTCCCTACATGGAGCTCAGTCCAACAGGTCGCTCGACAGTACCTCCAGGTGAACATACTAGTCTTATGAATTGGATGTCCAGGGCTGGTGAAAGGGTCATGCCTTCCCCGCGGCGTGACCTGAACCGTTATCCTGATCCCCGTATGGGAAGCCAAAACTCTGTTGACATTGAACGAATTCGCCTTGGTTTGGATGTCAGGACAACTGTCGGTCCCGTCAGTCATTTCTCTTAATAGCCCTAATGCTAATGGGCGGTTCTATCACAGATAATGCTTCGCAATATTCCCAATAAGATTGACCAGGTAAAGTCACGGCGTTCATACTTATTGCTTGGATTCTAATATGATAAGACCATGCTTAAGGCCATTGTCGATGAGACAAGCCATGGAAAATATGACTTCATGTACCTACGCATTGGTGAGATACCATGAGGCACCCATATCACGAGCACTGTGGCTAATCATTAATACTACTTATAGACTTTGCGAATAACTGCAAGTATGGCAATGATGCCCTCACAAGTCTGAAATCCTGTTGCTGAAACCCTCAAGTGTTGGCTATGCTTTCATAAACTTTGAAGATGTAAGTCTGTCAAATCATCTAGTGTGTGTGGCCTGATGCAAAAAGTTCGGCATTTGACACAGTCCAGCCGATCGATATTATTGACGTCAGTACATACACGAGGCAGTGCATCCTAGCATACCACTAAGAATATTTAGTTCGTCAATGCACGGGCTGGAAGAACATGGTATGACGGGGATATCGATTCAACATACTCCCGCTGACAAAGTGAGTAAGGAACTGCTTCAACAGTGATAAAGTCGCCGAAGTCTCATATGCCAGTAAGTCAACGAGGGCTTCGTTCGAGGAAGAGATGGTTGTCTTACTTCAGTGAAAGCTATCCAGGGTAAAGACTGCCTGGTACAAAAGTTTCGAAACAGCTCTGTTATGTTGGAGCACCCTTCGTTTCGCCCGAAGGTTTGTGTATATGTCCCTTAACTCAAGCCCGTGGGTGGAATAGCTTATTGCCCAATGCAGATTTTCCACACTGGTACTGGGCATCTCGCTGGCACCGAGGACCGCTTCCCTGGACCAGACAATCCCTCAAAGATGCGACGTAGCATCGAAAATGCCGAGCATGTAGGTCAGTACATAGCGAGCTAGCGCTGAGATTCAAGTTGATGTCTGACTATTCAGGCCTCTTTGCTCCTCGAGTCGGCCAACAGTACCGTGACGAGCAGCGTCGACGCCGTTCGCAGTTTGACCGCGGAACCACAGCTGCTGAGCGTGAAATTGTATTTGTTCGGACACTTGCCCCAAAGCGCACATATGGTTCCTCAAATGGTCTCAGAAGTGCGCCGTGTACCTATCCCGGACTGAAATCGTGGTGCGACTCGCCAATACCTGAACATACCCCAAAGACCTCCTGATTCCTTTCCAAGGCATCGGCCTGCGGCTTTCGAATTTATATCCCATGATAGGATCAGAACTATGCAAAGGGGGTTGAATGACCGCAAGTGACATGGGGAAGAGCAAAGGCCGGGGAGTCGCGGTTATTCCCTTTGTCAACTTCCATCTACAGCCCAGCAACGTCATTTGTCCCGAGTACAGTGCAGAGATTTTATTTCAATTGGAGGCGAAGCGGAGTTGAAACTCTATGGAGCATCTTACCACGCCCTGGTCGGCTTGGAAGCATTGCCTGTGTTTGAGTCGAGTTGTTGGGGTGCCATTCTCTGTGGGACTCTGGCGTCCTTCCGGGTGTTTCTTCTGATACCGTTCAATAAGAAATCTAATTGTAATACAAGACGACGGTGGCTGGTTTTTTATTACCCACCGGCTAACTTACTCCACTACATCATGATTTACTCATAGAGTGAAGACTATCAACTGCTTTTGCTTAGCGCAGGGCTCTGATGGCCCTGCAGTGTGCAGGTCCAACCAGCAGTTACCGAGGAGCGCGATGCATGCTTTGCAGGGGTTGCGTCACGTGGTGTTTAATTACATTATTACATTAAGTAGCACCCACGTATCTAAACTCTGTCTCTATGGAATAGGAAACATGTTGATCATAAAAGCATTGTTGTTCGATGCCCATATGGTACTCCTTCCTAGGGCTGACGTATTTATTATGCGAATAACATATGCAGGCCGGTGGACCAAATGGGCCTTTCTTGTACTCCTGTATCTTGATAACAGAGAAGAATTGTGAGGTATACTCTTCATTGGTATAGGTAGTCTATTTCCCCAATACTTAGAGGGGCTGTTGTCTTGTTCAAGCCTGGCAATTTAAACATATATTTATTGTTTCAGTCACAGTGTAAGATTAACCATATCCGATTGATTATATGTATTCATAGAGAAGACTTAGCATATCGGTTTAGTATTATGTACATACCATAGAGTCTATATTGAATGGAATATACTAGAGATACTTTGTTGGTTTTTAAGAGTCACCGGCCTAACGTTATACAGTTTGGCGGTGTGGAGGCGGTGGGGCGGGCCCGTCTTATCTAAATAGAAAAATATATTTATTTTTAATATACAAAAATAAATATAGGTAAGATTATATGACCGGTAGAATTACTCCGTAGTTTTAAGATTTTTTTTACTTCTACTATTATTTTATCTCTGCTACCATCTTTATTTATAGCCGATATTAACGATTATTAATATATTTTTAACTTTATATATTAATATACTACTTGATTAAAATTTATATATAAACCAGAAGAATATATATACTACTGTAGTAGCCGGCGCGGTGAGGCCGGTGTAGCCGTAGTAAGATTAGCTGCAGTAAGGTCAGTCAGCCGTAGTAAGGTAAGCCGGACTGCCCGGCTTATTTATTAAAACTTACTTAAATTTTTTAAAATAGTAACTGCAGTTTAGGCGGTGAAAGATCTGTATTTAAAGTCTTATATAATTTTATATATAAAAATAAATATATATTTAATCGGGAATAGTACAGTTTACGGGCACTTTACTTCTTTAGGCCTTAGCCAGATGACTCTTTAAAACCAACGAGGTGTCTCTAGCGGGTTTCATATTGAATTAGTAGGATCATAGGATTGGTTTTGAGTCTTAAAATGTGTGCTTTCATAGGGAAATTGATAGGATCTGGAATCTTATAGAGCGAACCATCCGCTGGATCGATGTCAGACAATGCTTTTAGTCGAGCGGTACTCCGTAAGATGCACTAACAAAAATACAGTTGGTCCCACGGTCCCACCCGCTTGCATCTTTGGCCGCCCTGCTCGCCCTGGTCCGAAAATAAATCGGCGTGGCTCAAAAATTCTGCTCTGAGGACGGTAAGCGCTTATTCAGTATTTTGATTTATATTGAGCTATAAGAAAGTAGATTATTCGGATATATTATAAATAACTTTTAGGCATATTCTTTGGATATGCTTTATATATACTAGATAGTTATAAGCACTTATAAATCTCTAAAAACTTCTAATAAAAAATAAAAAAAATAATCTAATAAAGAATCCTAGTATAAGAACCTTCGGCCCCTAAAAATCCTAATAACCCTAATATAAAAAGGGAGAGAAATAATTAATTTTTAAGTACTTTTAATAAAAGTTGTTAAAAGTCTTATTAATAAAGATAGCTCAACGTGGTTCGAAATTCTGCCCAGGGCGGTAGAGAATTTTTGAGCTACGATGAACTTTTTTCGGACCACGCTGAGCTGGCCCCCGTGCATCTTTCCTTGGCTTGCCGGTTAGTTACGTTTATCAGCTTACATAAGTTAGTTGAGTCGATCCTGCCGTCAAAACTAGCTGATTTTCGAACACTAGCTATGCACATCTTAAATGGCCCAGATTAGAAAGCCGTATCTACCTCACTGTTATAGAGAGCCATATAGATTCCTTGGCTTGCGCCTTGCGCATCTTGTAAAATGCTAGAAACTCCCGTTACCACAAGAAATACGCAGCAACACGTGCTGACCGTTCTCACCTGTTAGGCGGTACTTGAGGGAAGGCGGTGTCAGATGTGGCTGACCTGAACCAAACAGCGAGGTTCCGCCTTTATATCAAAGTTACTTCAACCCAGGAGAAACATCTATTGCGCCGACTAGTGCTGCACACCGAACCATCCACGTGGCAGAGTACTGTGTAGTCTCAATACTCTTTAGAAGTGCTCTGTCCTTTTCAATTTGAGCAATCCACCTGCTTCCAGCCAGGCCTCGCTGCCAATCACATCAACGTGGTGTATATTCCCCGAACCGCGCAGCGAGCCGCAGGAGATGGACCTGGAGAAATTGTTTGCTATACATTCGATTCTTCACCTCATATATCACCGCAACAAGAATCAGCATGGCAATACTAAGTGGTGGAAGTGGCTGGCGATCCTGAAGCGAACAACCCGGAAGCTCGTCATGTCTATTGGGCATCGGCCATCACACATCGCAGGTCAATCTTCGGCCCAAAAGTACACAAAACCCCTGGCGCACACTATTATACCAAGATGTTACCTGTGAGTCGAAGTCCAGAACAACTCAAGGGTCTACACGTATGGAAAGATGCGCTGATTCCCTTATAAAGCGTCTTCTCAACGGTTGTGGCCGACGGGCAGTTCTCCACACTTGGGGCAGTGCTTTTGGCCACGCTGGCCCGCCTTGCTAAGGCAATTGGAATGCGGAAGGAGCTCAAAATCCCTGCTACGACGGTGGGCACCTCTGCTCTCGGCAGCAGCAGCGAAACGACCAAAGAGGAAGATTTAGGGATAATCGTTTCACGGGCCAGACACAAGGCAGTCACACCATTACCGCCAGACCATTGTGACCTGGATGATCTGGGTCGCATCGCGTACCATAAAATTACAGGTAGCCTACCAAGGGGTTCAGGACGCTGCGAAGAGACGAAGATGAAGGAGCGGATCCAGAAGAAGAAAAAGAAGAATAGGAGAAAGGATGCCATCGACGATTTGTTCGACTCTTTGCTGTAGGTGAGCTGGATGTGCACACTGTCGACATGCCTCCCAGAATCATCAACCAAAAAGTCTTCAATCTGTCTCCGTCAGCGAGACACCCGGTGGTACCGCATTCTCCGTAACCCGCGCCTATTTCATGCACATTATGAAAATTCCCCAAGTAAATTGACACCGAGATGGCCCATGACAGCCCATGCCATCATATAAAGATATTTAGGGGAGAAGACTGTCCAAATGAAAAGATGCGCCCTCAATGTCGCACAAGCAATCATGACACACAGCGATGATGTTGCTATATGGAAAGTGAGAGTAGTCATATGGACCTCTCTCCCCTTCCAGGTTTGTCTATACCGCAGGCGTCGAGCAGCCGAGGCCCACCATATTGGCCCAGCCCAATTGCCAACAAAAGTCAGCAGACCCACCAAGAAAAAACTGTAATGGTCAATACCATTGTAAGCATTTGAAAGGTCGACGGAAGAAATGGCATTCGAACCACCGAATGCGAAGAAAGTCATATATTGCATCAGGAGGGATGTGATCGTCAATTCAATACCAGAGAGGTTCATTGAAGCAAATGTAACTGCTTGCAACCTGAAAATTAAGAACAGTGGAATATTCGTGGTCCGAGACTGTGTGATCAATAAGAGAGTGAGGGCTTCGTGCATAACGCGGGTGTGCATTCCTAGCCTGCGTTAGTAGATTATCGAAGTAAGTAGGGCAATGGCTATAAATTTACCTAACTTAACTGGTCCCTTTTTACAAGTAATCTTCCTGCTGTATAATGTGACCAGGATAAGGAGGAGCAACCCTACGAAGACAATTCGTGAAAGGAGAATAAGCGGGACCTTGTTAAAGGCCTGTTTTAAGGTTCCTATGTGAGTGGTCCCAAGGAGCTCAGGGAAATCCGAGACCACAGATCCAAGCTTGAAAAGGAAAGCTGTTGCTGTCACAGCAATGCAAATTAGACGCCACGGCTTGGATGAGTGATAACCGTTAGAGAGGTGAACACATATATCCACATATGTGACAATCACCAACAGCCAGAGAATGTATAGGTGAGTGGGAAGAAACCCGTGTGCAATGTCTGGCTCGGCCGCAAATTTCTGACCTGTTTGGTTCCAGCGCCTAAGAATACGGTGAGTTGCGAACAATCCCAATGTAGCATACTGGGCCATCGAGCTTGAGAATGAACCATTGCTGATGGGAAGTTGCTCGGAAGAAGCACAAGACCTCCGCGAAGCAACTTTCACATGCAGAAGGAATATCCACGCTGAAAAAATCCAATTCCAGAATTGATGTTCTTCCTCAACATAGCTGCTTGCAAACATCATACCACCGTAAGACACAATGAGACCAGCAAAGAATGCCCCAGAATGCATCGATATGGACAGCTGCTTATAAGCATGCGGAAGAAGCAGCAAGACGGCGAGAGCCATAGCACCAATGCCTAGGAGAAGTTGTCGGAGGTTGTAATCACTAGCAGCATTGGTTAATACTTCTTGAGCTGATGATAAAAATCGCTTGAGCGCAGGCTCAAGCTCGTCTTGGTCCCCAGTACTGATGGAGTTGTCGACAAGACTCATTACTTGAAGCCAAGCACATTGGGCTTCGTGCATGCTGGTTAGCAACTCAGTAGTACATCTGCCCGGGAGTTGATCGACTGTGATTTTGTGATCTGGGAAAGAATGTTCCAACCTCCTCAGCAATTGCTTGGCGTTCGCGAGCAAAACTTTGGTTCTTTGAGAATCTGGACACAGGTTCTCTGTAAGCTGTCGATACACATATGTAGAGCGCAGATAGCCTTCTACTCACATGAATGCCACACACCCAGAAGGTCCGGAATAAACACGCCCAAATTGTTTAACGGGATGGGGAAACCAAGAAGCCCTGCCAGGGTCGGAACGATATCTGTTTGGTCGACGGTTTTGTAGCATTGAAAGTCATCGGGAATGTCTATCGGAGCTTGATGGCGGGGCCCTCCCATAGTCTTGAACAATGGCGATATGAATAGAAGTGCCGGTGACGTCTCACCAGAAGATGAGCCACCATGATTACCGGCATCGTTCATTCCGTGATCACCACACAGTACTAAGAGGGTTGATTGAAGGTGTCCTTCCCGCTCGATGCTAGCATATAACTCGCCTATCACCGAGTCCATTTCACGCTGCTTTCTGAGCATATGTGAACTAAACAGAGATTAGACATCAACCAAGCAAGCGGAGACGATAAGAAATACCTCTGAGGGCCCAATTTATGCCCAATATGGTCGAGGCCGAGGAAATGCATTATGAAGGCAGACCAGTCGTCTTGAAGGAGCTCACTGGGTACATGCCGAGTCACATTATGGTCAACCTCAGTGAAATCCTGCAGTGTGGGTTTAACTTGGTATCGAAGATACACCAGAAAGATTGTAGATTGTCTACTCACTGAGACATAGAAGCTAGTAGTGCCATCTGAACGGTCAAACATGCCAGGAAATAGCTTGAGCCAGGTGTCATCACCATACATCACGAGGCGGTCACCTCTTGCCCTCAGTTGGGCAAGCCAAGTATCTTGAAATGCTAGTGTTGTTGACGTATCTGACTCCGCGATGTTAAATATAACGTCTAAAAATGACGGAGTAGACCCTGTAGTCATAGCTTTGAGACGGGGCATGGTGACAGTGGGAGAACTGGCGTGTGCAGTGAATGGAAGCGCAGCCCCTGACCGAATGAGACTGTTTATCTGTATTTTAGACCTTGACTCAACGCAAGACAAATGAGACACTACTGCTGACCTCTGTGTGAATGTAAATCCTGACGCGTTCGAATACACAAAATCACTATATCGTGGCTCAGCTTAGCATCTAGGAATGATTTGAACAACCGTACCTTCGCAAAGCATCGACCACCATGAAGATAACCTTGTCAAAGGGCGGCTTAACATATTGCTCGAGATCTTCGCATTTTGCGAGCCCTGAAACCAGTGGCTTGTATGGGAAAAATCCGGATGAGAAGATTGCGATAGCTAGGGGTATCAGTACATTGGCGATCAGTATCGCCGAAAGTCCTGACACAACAGCCATCCTCACTGCACTGGCAAATCCAGACGCACCGGAGCCGGGAAATAGTTGAGCCACGCACAGGACCTGTCGCGTCTCGATTTAGATCTAACTGAAGAGAAAGTACTGCGATGTTTGTGACTAAGTAGCCTCCATGTCATTCCTCGTGGAAGAAGACGGGGGTACTTCATTAGCTGATGCGTATGTATACTAACTACTAGGCCCGACTGACCGCCTTTAGGATCCACCCGGACTGAAATGCTCTTCGCAGACCATAGTAAAGTAGGCTTTATAAATTCCTTGCTGGTGAGACTTCACAAGGCTCTGGAAGATACTGCTACATTACTCTATGGGAACCTGAAGGCTCCCGATTCAATGCATATTCTTTATAAGAGAGGCCTAGGCGAAATATGTACTGTGTGCTGATATGTTTGCATCAATCTATCGTACTTGATTGCAGCTGTCCTTCAAACGTGACATGTCTGCAAGGGTAATTGACAAGATGACTTGTGGGATTAAGCCAGATACATGTTAACTCCAGAACTCCAGGATATAGAGCATTGTAGTAATGCGCAATACAAGGTCCTTTATTTCTTCTTGGACATTCTCTTAGCCTTCGAAGGATGGGGACGAAAAACGATGGATGAGCGGTTTTTCTTATTCTTCTGGATGCGTCCTGACTTTTTCGAGCGACCGTGAGTATCACGTGGTTTCTGGTCGACGTCCATATCTGCATCCATGATAGGTTTGTGAGTGTTGAACAAGAATATAGGGTCACAGAAGCGGCAAAGAAGAGAACTATACCTTCATTAGAATCTGCTATTCTCGCCTTTAGATCAGTGGCCTGGCCATCTATAGTTCTGTCAATCAATGCCGCGAATAATATTCGGTCGAATATTGTTGTCGTGAGGGGACATACCAGATCTTGTTGAATCCATTTCCATTTTGGAGTTGCCCTCATTTGGTTTCGGCTGAGCAGCGAGTTCCTGCAGCTTTGCTGAGAGTCTCTCGGTTCTGGCATCAACAGCAGGCCCGAATACAGTAGCTCGCAGATTGGCTCTGTTGCGCTTGATGACACTGGCTCGACCACTCTTGGCCATGCTGAAAGGGAGAAATCTTTAATATACAAAAGAAAGAGGTAAGCCAAAAGAAGAAAAGTATAATCGCCGAGAGATAGGGTGTTGCGAAATTTTCGTAGTTCTGGTTTGTTGAGGTCTTCTCTATCTTATCGCCTCGGGGGAAACTTTTTTCTTTCATTCCCTCCCATATCCATTACTCAAAAGGGTTAAAACCAAGGCGGCGGCCGATCTTATGTCATCATGTTGCTCGGAGGCTCTTCACAACTCCGCAATCCGCCATTACAAGTTCTGGAGATACAAATGAGTGCTCAAGAATTAGACGCATATCGCCTACAGTGTTCCCAATGCTTACTCTGCTGATCACCGAACCCTTCTTCTAGCAATATATGGTCCCACTCGAGCCAAGTATTGCGATGTCTTTGAACAGTGTTGCTCAGGATCCCGCAATCATATCCAATTATACCTCTTCCTGAGACGGCAGTTGAATGCATTTACCACAATATTGAAGAAGCTTGGCTGAAAATCAACATGGCATCTACTAGTCCATTCTACGACCTCCAGAGCACGGTCGCATTGGTGAAAACCCTGACGAATGCGCAGTTGAAGGACATCTTGAGGAATGAGGGGCTTGCGGTTTCTGGAGTGAAGGCGTCGTTGCAGATCCGGATCCTAGATTGTTCGTGGTATCCCCGTGCCTGTAATCATTGCTTGATCTCGAGCTTTTCATGAAATGAACGCCTTTGATCGAAATCTTGTTAACCCTTCTTGAGAAATACCAGATATTGATAGACTCAGAGAAGGAGGTCATATTGAGAAGTACGATAGCATGAGGAAGTTCATATATCATACAGCACACCGGTCGATACCATCGCCTACACTGCCTCAGCAATCGTCCAACCAGCAATATCAGCAGCCTTCAGTTAGTCAGTCTCTGCCCACGCAGCATAGACCATCACCTTTAAGCATGGCAGTGCCGTCGCATGCTATCACCCCAGGTATTTGAAGCTTCATGCTTCGACCCTTTAGACTTTCAAGAGCTTGAATAACCCGCCATTACTGAACAGGCCGCTTGACCTTTAAGGATAGTCCTTTCTATACGGTTCTGGACCAACTGACTCCGACGGCGGAATGCAAAGGTAAGTTCGTCATTCCTTGCAAAGGGCTGTCAGTGACCTTAGATATCACCAAGTACGCGAGCACACTCGGGACAGCGTGGAGCTGAAAGTTGCTTTTACGCCTAGTATGGCATCCAAACTGCAGGCTGATCCAAACCTTCGGGTGATGGTGTTTTGTGCGGCAGACACGGGTCTCAATCAATATACCAAGTCGGATATAGCATTTCCTCATCAAGTTGAACTCAAGACAAATCTTGACGAAGTCAAAGCGAACCTGCGAGGTCTAAAGAACAAGCCTGGTACAACAAGACCGGCGGACATTACCAATTATGTTCGCAAGAAAGCAGGGTATCAAAACACTGTTGTCTTGACCTTTGCCCTCACCCAGAAAGTAAGCATTCAGTCACGGGTCATACCATTCTGTGTCATTGTTTGACCATGGTTCGGACTCAATCACCTTAATTTGCTGATTTGCTGGTAGAGATTTTTTGTTTTGGTCAACCTTGTTCAGAGACATCCAGTTGACGAACTTGTTACCGAGCTCAAGAGAAGAAAAACTATCTCAAAAGAACAAGTCCTGCGAGAAAGTATGCATTCTTGTACACTTATAAATTTACTCGAGAGATCTAAGCTAAGCAATCTTAGTGAGGAGCAAGGCAGAGGATACTGAAATTGTCGCCACTTCAAGTGTTATGTCACTCAAGTGCCCTTTGTCGCATACTAGGATTACGGTTCCCTGCCGCTCTATAATCTGCACCCATAATCAGTGCTTCGATGCATCATCATTCTTGCAACTACAGGAACAAGCCCCGCAGTGGTTGTGTCCTGTATGTTCCAAAGCGACTAGTTTCGAGTCATTGCAAATAGACCAGTAAGTGCAAACACTAACCGTTTTGTGCGCGGTGAATACATGAAAAGAGAACTAAATAAGTGTCTCAGGTATGTGGATGATATCCTCCGTCGGACCCCGTCGGACACTGAACAGGTGATCATTGAGCCAGATGGGAAATGGTCTCATCCTAATCTCGAGGACATTGAGAAAGCCGGGAAAGCTACATCAGCAACAGAAGATGATGATCTGATAGAGATCAAGGAACCGGGGATATCACCCATCAAACAAGAGAGTTTCTCTGCTGTTAATTTGACCCTGCAGCAGACTCCACTCAAGTCACGCGAACCCTCTGCAACCTCGTCTGCAGTTCCACCGTCTATGAACAAGCGTCCTGCAGCCCAGGTGATTGACCTTACTGGCAGCGATGATGACGATGATGGCGATGATCTACCTGTCAGACCGACCAAACGGCCTGCGGTGGGTGAAATGGGAAGGAGTTCACTTCGCCCAGAATATCACGACTCGTACACTAGCGTTTTCGCAGGGGAAACGAACCCTACCTTATCTGCCCGGCTCAGCCCTGGATTTCCAGGCCAGGCAGGCGACTTTCAATCATCAACCTATTGAAGCATCCATGCACGGTGTCACGGCGCTTTCGGAATTCGGAAACCGGCTATCATTATTATACCTGGGATTGGTGGGACTGGGACCAGACGTATTGCTCACATCTTCATATTGAAAACAAAGGAATTTTTTCTCTACATGAAGGAAGCAAACCCATAGTGAAATGGACACATAAACACATTTTAAACATTTTGCGCTGTACAATCAGCTGCACTGCGATATGATCCATGTCGAAGCTTGGCGACATTGGTGTACTGTACAGTTTAGTACACTAATGAGTTTCAGTTAGACCATTTATTGACGTACGTGCAGCACCATATAAATACATTTAATATCTGGAACTTCAGGAAGACATTTGCGTGACTAATATTTGTGCGATTCATTAATAGTTGCACGTTGGCGAAATGGTTGCGAGGGTTGTCCTTTTCTGATGTGTGTGTTTTGGGCACAAAAAGCGGCAAGATGTTTGTATGGACTAGAGCGTAACTTCTCTCTGGTTAACTTAGCTGAGCTTAGTTACTCACTAGACAAACTATTACTCCGTACTGATTGACCACTTCTTTGAAAGTCGAACTCCTCACCCGTGACCTTTGCGGGCGGGAGGCACCCCATCGCTCTCGGCTCTCTATACTCAAGCCACCTCTCAGAGAAATTCATTCGCCTACCTCTTTCTCCGAATTGTCTCCTTTCACCCCTTCCTTTTCTTTCCCTAAACGAAGCCGTCCACTAGGTACTATGTCAGTGGAATCGCCCGCCCTCCTTGCCAACCATGCCTCCGAATCGCATTTGCGCCTTCTCGGCGCCTCGTGCCTGGACTTCCTCTTAATTGAGCTCGTCCCTATGGCCGAGCGCTTAACAAGAGAGCTCACCCCGAATGAGATTATACCGGATGATGAAGGAATTAGGGAAACAACTTTTTTCCGGCTCGAGTCTCTTGGTTACAGAGTAGGGCAGGGCCTTGCTGAACGGTACGCCATATGAATCCTACCGCTGAAGGAATATCTTCGTAAAGGGGCGAGCAGGGAGGACATGGCGAGTCGCGGTTTTTTGAGTGTCTGCTAATACACGTCTATTCGACTTGACTCGATGAACAGCTTTGCTCGAGACCGTCCACGTTTTGTGGATAACTTGGATGTGATCAAGTTTCTTTGCAAAGACATTTGGACGATTCTCTTCAAGAAACAAGTCGATAACCTGAAAACCAATCATCGGGTAGGCACTGAACACAAAGAATCGCCGCGAGATGGGCAGCGCTAATAATAGGTCTTCAGGGTGTATATGTCTTAACAGACAATTCATTCCGGCCGTTCGCTAGGATGAGCACATCTGTCCGAAGTGAATCGGTGTCCATGGCTCAAGCGGTACAGTCATGCGGCCATCTACCTATGAAGTGTATACTGATTTTATGTGGCATTCGGCAGTATCTATGGTTCCCGTGCGGTGTCATACGCGGTGCGCTCTCCAACCTGGGCATTTCGACCACTGTCCAAGCAGAGACTGCTGAGCTTCCAGGGGCCACGTTTCAAATCAAAACAGTCAATCCGAAGTCTTGAACAGACATCCGACACTTCCGGTAGTGTAAGCGTGAAACGCCCACGTAATCGGTCCTAGCAGGCTGGATACTGCCACAGCTCATTGCGCCCATCGACCTACAGATCAACCGACTACTGCATGCTACCAAAAGTGGAAACCGAGGCACAAATATACATGATGCTTGAGTGTATGGTGCACATTTCTCGTACCCCAGAGTCATGGTACTAGTTTGTAACAGCCTCCACGACTACTGTGTCAATTTGTCCTCTACTTCTTCCTTCAGAGCCTATCTTCAAGGAATGACAACGATCAGCGATACTCTATCCATTACCATGTCCGTGAACGACGAGCGAATCAACCGAAAGGTGTCTTTCAGGTAGGAGACAAGTGTGCGGTATCAACAAAACATCGACTAGCGGATGGAAAACTTGCAAATGATGTGCGGGGATGGACGAATTTACTTTGGTGGAGGATTCTGGATGAAGTCGATGCCTTTTTCGATGTTGCCTTTCAGGCCCTTGTTGCAAGCCTCAAGAAGCTTCTGCTCTTGGTCGGTGATGCCCTCCAAGACATTGATGGCCTTCTCTGCTCCATTCGCCTGTTTTCGCAGCGTTAGAACCGGTCACTATTTGCCTTGCAATCAGGTATCGAAACTCACCCCAAGAGCCACAAGAGTAGAGAAAAACTCGACGCCCGTAGCCTTGACAATCTCGTCACCACCGGGAACTCCAGGCAAATACACAAATGTGGGCTCGACAATGTCCGTCTGGCCCTGGGAAGCCTTTATCACACTCTCGGCAAATCTAAGACGCAACGAGATAAGTTTGAGCTGTAGCATGGTGGGAATGAAAAGGAGTCAGACCTGAAACCAGCAAAAGCCATAGATAGAGTCGCAGATCCAGCGCCATCCTTAGCCTTGACAACCTCATCTCCACCAAATTGAACACCTGGGCTAGCATAAGCATACATACTCAGAGCTTACGGTGACCGAAGCGGGAGTGACTCACGATTAACCAGGGCATCATACTTGTCTGATGGGATCTGGAAGGCGGGCGTAGCCTTGCTGAACAGCGGGACAATGGTTTCACCAGAGTGGCCACCCACAACGGGGATCTTAACAGCAGATGGGTTCTTGTGGCCCGAGAATTCTTGGGTAAAAGTCTCCGCGCGTACAACATCCAGGGTAGTCACGCCGAAGAGGCGTTTAGGGTCAAAGACGCCAGCGGCCTTGAGTACCTCTGCGGCAATGGGAACCGTTGAGTTGACGGGGTTAGAGATGATCAGAACGAACGCCTTGGGGGAAAACTCGGCAATGCCCTTGACCAGGTCGCGCACAATACCAGCGTTGATCTTGAAAAGATCATCGCGGGTCATTCCAGGCTTGCCTAGCAGAAAGCGTTGGCATTAGAGTTCACGACCTGTGGTGTCTAAAAGGGGAGGGACTCACGTGGAATTCCAGCGGGGATGACAACGATATCAGCTCCAGTCAGGGTATGCTTCAGGCCATCATCCTTCGGCAAATAGCCAGTGATTTTCTGCGAACGGGGCGGACGCCATCAGCCATTAATACTCCATCAGTCGAGGGCCAGGCTTGTGGGTACCTACAGCAACAGAAGAGATGTGGGACAGATCGGCAGCGACACCCGGGGTGTTAACAACATCGTACAGGGCGAGTTCGTCAACCAGCGGAGAAGTCTTCAACAGGAGAGACAAGGGCTACACAACCGAATATCAGAATGGCAGTCAGTTGGGAGTTAATGGCTCGGTTGAGAGGACAATCATCGGAATAGTGATACAGACCTGGCCAATGCCACCCGATGCGCCGAGAACAGCTGTTTATGGGAGGTCAGTGGAGGTTGTTGCATGTTTTCCCGTCTATATCGGAAGCTAGGTCGAATTGTAACCAGGCACTCACCCGCTTTAACCATCTTTGGAATGCTGTGACTCTTGGGAGGTGTGAGGTATGCAGCTCTAAGGTAGCGTGAGTGAGAGATATATGTGAGGAGACGTAGAAAGGAAAAGGCAAATGGGTCAGAGGGATGAGGAGGTGAGGGGAGGGGCAGGTCAGGAAGGGTTGGGCGGGGGAAGCTTTTGTTTGATAAAAAGAAATGACGGGTGGGGTTGGGTGGTGGTACGGTCACATTTTACGGTGAGCAGGTCAGGGAAAGTGCCATTCTTCTGCCGGGGGGCTTGGAGCCTTCGCGGCTTGGGACCCGGGGCTTGAGGATTGGTTGGGATTTGGTGAGGAAAGGAAGAGTGGGTAGGAGATCAGGAGGGGGGAGGTGTAGGGAGGAGGGGAGGAGTAGTGATTGAAAATCGTGGGGAAAGGAAAGAGGGGTAAAGAGAGGAAGGATGGGGGAAGGGAAGAGAAAGAGGAAGAATAAGAAGAAGAAGCACAAGACAACTTAAGAGGAGCACTGTCGAAGTATAGAGAAATACACATGAATCGAACTTGTTGGCAAGAACTTACTATGTACTTTGTGTAGTTGTTTTTAGTTTAAGAGAATGATATAATTGGAAAGTGAAAAAGGGTAACTGGAGGATGTTGTGATGGCCGAACTTATATACTCACAGACCAGCTAAGCTGCCTTGGTGGAAAATCACATGTGGGGGACAAGGGGGTAGCTTCCTTTCCCTGTAGACCGTAGACGTAATACTACTCATACTCGTACATACTCTGTACTCATACTATGTATATCTACGTATACTGGATGGTGCTACTTCTTCTCATGACCTAGGTACCTATCCGACAACCGGACAACCACAAACAGCATTCGCTAGGCATCCACAACCACAGCCGCAACGGATAAAACCGAGGTAATCCTCTTCCGGGAATTTGTCATTGTCGTCATCCATAAGTTAGGTCTGGGTGAACGGATCAACCTCAATCCTTACTAGAGATTCTATAGGTCCGATCGTCTCCGTCCGGAATTTTCCCTGTTTGCTACTCCTGGAGGGCTAGGCTTCCGGCGGAGTTTGTCGGTACCTGAAATTGACTCTTAATGGAGAAGGAGTCTCCTTCTTCCGCTCTGACTAGTCATCGGAAAAAGGCGGATGGCCTCATCCGTGATCTGAGTATCCTACGGCAATTGCACGGCTATTGTTGGCTTACCGGCCGGTGACAATGGTACTCACGCCGGTGCTGCTTAGATCTGATGGCTGGAAATATGTTCCCCGCACCCAGCAAACTGCAGTAGGTTTGCTATCACCAACAAGTGGATAAGCAATCGCATAGCGAAAAGCAGAATGCGCTCATGGCTTGATGTGAACTTCTTTTTGACATTTTTCCTTTTTTCAATTTGCGGATTATCTTATATCACATGGCCGGTGGTGTTTCTCATGGTAGCGCGATCATGCTACATTACCCAGATGCTTCCGCCAATTAGTTGACACAGCCCTACTATGATCGATGCGCCCAGTTCCGGGGAGCTTCAACCTTAGGATCCCTCTTGCTACTATTGTTGCCTACTCCTGGTCCTTCTCGGCGGCCTTCTTAGCCTGAGCGCCACGAAGCTTCTGGGGAGGAGACTCCTTCTTGGGCTTCTGGGAGCGGCGGATGGCGCTCACACGGGCGACAGCAGCCTCACGGAGATCGGCACGGTAGCCCCTCTTAGCGGTCTTGTCGGCAACACCCTTGAAGATCCTGTAGAGAGCAAGTGCAACCAGTCAGCCATACATGGTGCTCTGGACAGAAAAACATATCGGTAGATGGCGTCGACTTACTTGCGGGTGGAGGCGCTGGGGCCGTAGCTCACGGTGACGATGTTCTTCGCGGGCTGTTGGGAGTTGGACTTCTTGGTGAGGACGACAACACCGCCGTTCTCGGTAGCCTGAACACCAATGGCCTGTTGCAACATATCAGGAGGTTTATTCGCGGGTAAAGGAGGGAATAATATGGGCTACCTTGTTGTTGGCATAGCCGGCGTACTAAAAAGCAAGACCGTATTAGCACTCAAGAAGTCAAGATGACCTTCGTCCTGGAACTCTTACCTTGAAAGAGTGCTTGTTCTGCACGTTCAAAGGGTCACGGGAGAACTGAGAACCACCGCCGCTGTTACGCTTCACCAGGAAAGCATTCTGGTTGCCTGTTCCAAAATTCGCAAATTAGCCGGAATTCGATGGGATGGCTAGGTCGTGCGGCGAATGGCGAGAAGCGGATCTCGAAGCCCTTCATTTGAGAATCTCTATATATTGCCCATTTCTGTGCGAGGGGATGGTGACGTACGGGTGATCTGCCAGATGAGATCGCTGGAGACGTTGGTTCTGTCGGCGGCCATTGTGAAGATAGCGTGTGAAGCTTGAGGGTATGTGTGGCAGGTCGAAGTCGTCGCAAGTCCGTTCGGTATATGCGACTCTTGCTGCCAATACTAATAGCCCTGTGTGTGTGCCAATGCCAAGAGTGGCAACGCTGGAAAAGGCTCGCTAAGCAGGCCGCTTCAGGAATAGCCTAGCTAGCGTGTGGAGCGTGTGGGAGAGATATACTGATGCCTGTATGCCTTGTAGACAAGGCATCAAAAGGCTTGTCTAGTGACTCAACTCTGTAATCATTGTTAAGTTAGTCTGCAGGTGCAGGCATCAGCGGTCCAAATTCGGGTGTTAACGTGCACGGTCCAGTTTGGCATCTTCCACAGCCTTCCCATTTTCTCCACACACCCGGCCAGATTACATGAGTACGCTCTTGCTGATGCCTATGTTACTCTTGATGGTGCCGCCCATGTAGTGTATCGTGGGAGTCGCCTCTGCCATCACGAAGCAGATTCTCTCATCTACCAACAATTCAAACCCAAGAGGCTTGCCTCGTCTCCTAGCCGTCAACATCCGCAAGTCTGCAACGGTTCCGATCTGAAAGCTGGCGCGGATCTTCCCGGGGTTCTACCAGCAAGACTTCAGACCATGGCTTATTATATCTTGTTCTTTCTGACCTTCACGGTTATCATTGGTGGCACCGGTAAGCTTGAGGGTTCTCGTTGAGGATTATGGCTTCCTGGTTCTGGATCGAGTCTAATATATCTGCAGCGCTCTACCTTACTCGTGCACGATGGCTACCGTTTATTCCCGTGCCTGAATATATCTACCATCGCCTTCCTTCCAGTTTTGCCAATGATGCCGAAGCTGGCTTTACATCCACACAATTTGATCTTTCTGCGAACGTCGCAGATGGAGATAGTAGAGCTGGATTGGATAGTCGTGCAAAACGTGATATTCGGGAAATCATGCACCGGCAGAAAGTCAACTTTGATGAAGCCCGTCGCCTTTACACAGAGCAACGATTTGCGAAAAATAATATTGGCCCGGATGGTCGGCCAAGAGACCCCAAATTTGTTTCCTTTTCCTAACCGCGTATTATGTTACAAATTGATTTCGCTATTGTCGTTGTCGCTCTTCTCATGGTCTGGGCCTGTGTGCAACCATACAAGTATATTGGCAATCATCGACTCTATAAGGTCACCTTCGGAAATCGCCGAATGCTCCTCTATCTTGCTATCTGGGGTACAGTTTGCTAAACGCGCTTCGCTCCAAAGCTTGATACCACTGCCAACATTGTTGTCATCACCATGTACTGACACGTATTGACACGTATTGACACGTCTATTGCACCACTCTAGTATTAATATGCACCAGTATGATTCGTTGCACAGTTTGTAGAGACGGTTCTCTATGGGAGACCAACTGCCAACCGAGGTTCGATTATCAGCAGGACGATGCAAGAGGGTGCTTCGAAGGCAGCACACGAGCGTCATCTGATAACGTAGAATCAAGATGCGCACTGCGGCGAAAATCGGGTGGGTGGATGAACTTTCTTGGAGCGCGAGCTGCCTGAATAAACCAGCCGTCGTTGTCCGAATACTTCCTTGACGAGACGGCGATTGTGATACCGAGACTCAACGACCCCGCCCAAAACCAGGTTGTTGAAAGCCTGGGGGCAAAGGAGGCTGAGGCCCAGGGGTTCCCGTAGCAGGGCCGTAACCCGGCTGTGCAAAACCTGGTGGAGGTGCTGCTTGGACAGGGTAAGGTGGCTGTTGACCGGCGCCATTGTAGCCGGTGGGAAGGAAAGCTTGCGGCCCCCCGTAACCAGCTTGCGAAGGAGGCGGACGTGCTGGTAGACCCGGCGGCGGGGTGGCTAAAGATGTCGGGGGATGAATTGGTCGATTTGGCTGAGGCGGCGTATTCTGATAACCAGGATTCGGGGGCGGCATGCCCCTGCTAATACCTAGATCTGGTGGGCCAGTGCCCACAGGTCGAGAGTTGTCACCATTGGCCACGCCCGCTGATATCATAGGAGCTCCAGGTCCAGAGAATTGCGCTGGGAGCGGCTGAGTCACCGGACGCACATTGTGCTTGCGAGCCTGTGCCGCTAGCATCCGCTCTGCCTGGTCACCGTGCCGCTCGCCCTTGCCGTCCTTCTTATACGCATACTGGACTGAAACCTGTTTGTTCATCAGGTACTGGCCGTTCATGCTGGCTATGGCGGCGTCTGATGATTCGAAGTCGGCGAACGACACAAATCCATAGCCCTTCGAGAGATTATTGTCATCCCGTGCGATCTGAGTGAAACAAAGTGTCAGACAACTTGCCAGGAGCGAGAGTCATGTTCAGCGACGGGAATCCATAGAAGGAAATGATACATGCCTTTGGAAGAGTGATCAAGTTCCCGAACCGGCTAAATGTATCATAGAGAACCTGCTCTGTCACCATTGGGTCGAGGTTGCCGACGAACAGCTCTGCACCGATTTCCACGGCCTTCTGCTTGTCGGCAGAGGCCTTGTTCACGCGTATGGGCTTTCCGTACAGGCGAATACCATTCATAATCCGCGATGCATACTCGGCATCCTCTTCACTGATGAATTCCACAAATCCATAGCCCTGGTGTGACTGCGTGACTCGATCTTTGGGCAGATGAACGTTAACGATGCGCCCGGCTTGAAGCATTAGCTCCCATACCAGGCTATCCGTGACACGTTCATCGAGGTTCCCAATGTAGACGGTAGCCTCTTTGTCTTGCTCCCTATGTAGTCAATGAGTGAGTTTGAGAACATTGGCCTGCAATAGAAGCGTGCAGCACCTACCAATGTCTTGCGCCGGACATCGCGCGTGGCAAGAAGCTGTTGGAGCCCCTTCACTGATTACAGCTGACTGGTAGGTGAAAGGAGGAGATGAAGCATAAGTCGTGGGTCAGAACGCGTGCCTACAGTTGATATCAAATACAGATAGCGTGTAAGACTCGGACACCGAAGCGAAAGGGAAGCGGAGAAGCGTAAGTTGCGGAGCAGGGATCGATCCGTCGTTGGAGACAGAAAGCGTTCGTCGGCGGAGCGGTACGTTTTTGTTAGCCCCGGAAAACTTTGAGCTTCACCTTCTCCCCGTCCTCCGTCATCACTCCCACCAAAACAACATACCGGTAGCCGCCGCCTTTTGTTCTGCTTTCTGGCTTTTTACCTCGACTCTTGACCTATCCTTGCCCTTGGCATCTGCTTGACTCAGAATCTCGCCTTTGATCTAGGAAGCTATTACCGCTCAACATGGTCCAATTCTCCGAAGAAACCAAGGTGAGTGCCTGTGTTTTAGTGAGTAGCCTGCGCATATACCATCGGCTTACAGTTGTCTGTGTTTCCTAGGAGCGTATCTCCAAGGTCATTGACGTCTCCAGAGTTGCTATTCACTAGTGAGTTACTCCCCAACCCCCCTCCCCTTTCAAGGTGGCCGCAGCTGACGGTTGTCTTTGTACTAGCGGATATCTTCCTCTGATCATCTACCTCGGTATGATTCTACGGGAATGAGCCCATTTCGTTTTGGGAGCAATGAAAATAGCCCCAATACTGATTTTTCCTTGACAGGCTACACTTATAGCGAGCCTAGACCTTCGCTTTTCAAGTATGAACGAACCTTGATGCCAGTTTTCCTCCGATCGGTACACCCAGCTAACACCATGGCACATAGGCTGTTCTCGCCGCTTGCATAGAGTTGTGGAAGACCTAGCCGCATTGCATACGAGGGCTCGGTCCAAGAAATATGGCATCTGAGATTCTCATTCCTCAATCTGTGGCAGGCATGAGATTGGGTTGAACCGGACCTTCTGCACGGAGCCTCGGCCTTTCGCCTTCTCGCCGGTAAGGAAATACGAAACTGGATGTGCAGGAGTTTAACAAAGACGGAGGGGTATTTCTAATACTGTGTTGGGATTTGTCAATTCTCATTTTTGGTTTTGGTTTGGTTCTTGCGAATGACTTAATGTGACTCCTTTTCTCACCTCTTCTTCCTTATTTTCTCCCGTTTCGGGGTATCATGCATGGGAGTGACGCAATGTAACTGCTTCGAACTATACAAGAGCGCCAGAGGGGTATCGCAATCAATCCTCCCGCACAGTAGATGAAAAGTTCACCATTTTTTTGTGTTAGCGATAATAGCCGGAGAATCGCACCAGACTGGATACCGCGGCCTCGGCCCGCCAAGCTTAAACCATGCAGGCAAAGTCAAAGCCCAGGCCCGGGCGATTCCGTAGTCGCTTTACACCAATCCAACTCACACCCCGCACTCAAAGACGAAAGATTACATATACCTCATTTCCTAAAGACCATCAGCCCGGAACCTTTTTGGTGAGGTCGAAGAGTTCATGACTGGCAACGATGGCCTATCGTCATCCTTTGTGGAGACCGTAGCAGGGTTGACGGCGGGAATTGTTTCAACGCTTTGCCTGCATCCGCTGGATCTGATCAAGACTCGACTTCAGGGTGCGCCTCTCTGTTTCCTCGGAACGAATAAATGAACTGCGGCCTCCGCAACTCTTCACTTGATGATCTGTTTACTGAATCGCATTGCAGTTGACCCGTCTTTAAGCTCTCGCGGCCATGAATCACTCCGACTTGCCCAAGGCATCTTTCAGCATGAAGGTGGCCTGGCTGCATTCTATCGAGGCCTGACGCCCAATCTCCTTGGAAACTCGACTAGTTGGGCCCTATACTTCTTGTGCTACGGTAATATCAAAGAATTGATGCGAACCTGGCGTGGAGGTACTTTAGGAGAGGGGTTGAGCTCGGCCGACTATTTTCTAGCCTCGGGATCCGCCGGTAAGTCTTCTCTAGATCTAGACAAAGCGTCAGTGGGAGATTCCGGCGGTTTCGCTAATCGTCAGAAAACATGAACCCGGTCTTTAGGTATGCTGACATCCGTCTTAACGAATCCTATCTGGGTTATCAAAACCCGCATGTTGTCAACCGGCTCTCGGGTACCGGGAGCCTATGCCTCCCTCGTCGTGGGCGCGAGACAGATCTTCCGCGCAGAGGGCTTATCCGGCTTTTATAGGGGCTTAGTCCCGGCGATGCTCGGAGTCAGCCATGGTGCGCTGCAGTTCATGGCTTATGAACAACTGAAGCTGTACCGCACTCGCATGGCGGCCGGCGGCGGTACCGATGGTCCAAGCTCGTGGCGGCCAGAGTCACCAGAGCTGGGGAACGTGGACTACTTCGTACTGTCCAGCCTCTCGAAGCTCTTTGCTGGGTGCGTAACATACCCATACCAGGTATTGCGGTCCCGGTTACAGACCTATGACGCGCATATCATTTACATGGGCGTTCGCGATGCGGTAATGAAAATCTGGGTCAGAGAGGGAATCAAGGGCTTCTACAAAGGTTTGGTGCCAAATCTGCTGCGGGTACTACCCAACACATGGGTCACGTTCCTTGTATATGAGAATACTCGGGCATATTTGCCGCGGCTGGTTCTTAAGGGGTAGTTGAAGGCATTAGCTAAGTCTCGCATCCATCCGGAAAGACAGCCCACCGTGCCTCTTCTTGAACCCAATCGCAACGTTCGTAAAACCGATTAAAGGGGCAACGTTCCCTGCCTGTTCATCTAATCACTAGCAGGATGACAGAGGCAGAGCAAGTCGAAGATCTATCTGGAGATCAGAATCTGCTTATACAAATGGATGCTATACATGTATTACATCGGACCCTGGACATGTTCTTCCCCTCAATTACTTCATTCCTCCCAATGCAGTGTTCCTTTCGTGTGTTGAAAATGAAAGCAAAATGTGAAAAGTAATTGAATCTGGTATCAGCATAATCTCAAAGCGAAGGAAAGTTATAGAAACAGAAGAAATTCCCCCAAGAAATAAGTCAGTGTCCTTGCCTGTCAAGGAAGTAAGGTCCAACATCCTCTTCGTCGCTACTGGAAGCTCCGTTATAGGTCGACGTATCTCCATAACTTGGGCGCCGCCCCTTTCCGTCACTGTTAGTAAGAGACTGCAGCCTTCTGCGGGTGTCGGGCCTGGTTTCGGATCTCGCAATCGGAGATATCCTGCGATCTTTTCCGCGGCCTTTGATGCCCTTGTTACTATTCTTGTACAAGGTAGCAAAGTATTCCCAGAGCTTCTGGTCTTGTGAGCTCATGTTATCTGCATCCGTCATCTGAGAGAACTTCAGAGTCAGATTTTTCAGGGTTGCTGCATGGAATTTGTTCTGATGTGACTACCACTTTAGTCAGCCCAGATGAGTTCTACGAGCAGCAAGGTGAATCATGGAAGGGCACACCTTTAGGTTACCCAACTGTGTAAATTGTTTACCACAGTCGTCCAGAAGGCAAGTGAAAGGCTTTGCATGTTGGTGGGTGATCTTGTGTGCGCGAACATTGCCACGCTGGGCAAATCGTTTATGGCATATCTCACAGGAAAATGGCTTCTCTCCTGTATGGCGTCGCTGGTGGGTCTAAAGCCACCGACAGAACTAATTAGACATTGCATGAATGGGCGAGCAGCATCAAGGCACAGGCGCGGCTTACCTTCAGGTTTCCAAGTTGAGAGAAGCGCTGGCCACACAAGGGCTCTTTGCATACCTTACAGATCAGTTGTCAGTGCCTATTTCATTGGTTTGATGGGATGTTGTTTCGCTCACAAAGGGCTTGTCTCCTGTGTGGGCCCTCATGTGGATGTCCAAATGTGTCTTCTGCGCAAAACTCTTGCCGCAATGTGGAAGGGTGCAAGCATACTTGCGCTTCTTTCCTGAACGCAGTGGCTGATCTTCAACAATCACAGTACAGCGCGGGTTCGTGGCTGCTGAAATCGAATATTGAGGGGCGAAGGTACTTGGATTCACTCCATGCGTCATTTGCTGAAGTGGCGGGAGTGACTGCACGTTTGCCGACTGAGTGCTGGCCTTTGACTGTATCGCTTTCATGAGGATGTCTACTTCGGTTGAGAATTCGATTTCATTCGGGCATGGACTTCTCCCCTGTGCTGGTCCTCCAGACGTCGGATGCTGTCCCAATGGCTGCTGAACGCTCGACTTGTGGTCAATACTGGCCGAGGCATCTTTCGTCATCCGACTGACCGCGTTCTTGGCCGGTCGAATATCTGGAATTGGCTGGATAGAGGGCGGCTCCGATGAGAGGCGTACCGACTGGGAGTTCAAGGGTTGCTGACCCGCTACGAAGTAATGCTGGTAGCTAGTCTGGTGGTGGTGATGCTGATGTGGATGATGATGGTGCTGATTCATGGGATGTCCGAAGCCATAGCTCGCTGACGAATGTTGATGAAAAGAAAGAGGGAATGAAGCAGTCGGGCTGGTGTAAAATGGTAGAGTATGGCCTAGGCTGGTGTTCATCATCCGACGGGGTGCAACGGCGCCGATAGCATGGCCTGGGAATTCGTAGGATGAAGGTTCCGCTGCATCCATATCGGTAAGCGCTTCAAATCGATGTCAAGGTTTGGAGGCTATTGCCCTGGGCTCTCAGAGCCTCGGTTTGAAACTTGTCTGCTTTCGAAGCTTCTTCCGGGAGACCAAAAGCCGAGAATAAGACTGACGCCGGTGGCTGGGCTATCTCTGCAATCCTTTAGCTATGGTCTTGTCTGACTTTTGTGGATGGAGCACAGGAAGAGGCAAAGATGATCTTGGGGTTGGTTGGGGAGGGGGGTGTCTTATAGCTGGGCGAGGGAAATAGCCTTCTCTTCCGCTGTAGGCAGTGAGGATTGAGACTACCTTGCTATATTTCACGGCCAACAGCTTATTTCGAATGAGGGCAAAAAAAAGCAAAGACCGCAAGCCGGTGGATGTGAATCCTGATTGATTGCACAGGCTGGGTTCAAGGTGCAGACATCGGGCGAGAGAGGAGTCCTTGAGAAACACCCCAAACGGGATATGTCCTTCGGTAGATCCTGGACTCGGCTTGTCTATATAGGCTCTCGCAGGAGACAAGGAAGTGAGAAAAGTAGTCGAATGTTCAATAGTCGTTGGTAGCTGTCAGCCAGTGGAGTCACCCCAATGGCATCAGTGCCGGCCGTGGGACCCGCTAATCAATGAGTATGAGTTATACACCAAGAGATGTTGCTTCATACTCCGCGGGGGAGATTATCTTCAGGCGTTTGACAAAAAGAATAGGTGATTGTGCAGTGAGCCAGAAAACGGCTGGGTCAAGATTGATACCTCTTCGGAACCTTACCTGGAGAATTATTTTTTCCCCTTCACTTTTGGCCTTGAGATTTGTTTTGGCGAAGCTTATTGAAAGCACTTTCACTCTCACTCTCACTCTCTCTCTCTTTCTCGGTCCTTTCTTTTTGCCTGTTTTGACAGCTGAGAACAGCTGGAGAGATGGCGATCTAGAACTAGATATACAAGTCAATCCCGCCCACCCCCCTTCTTAGTGTCCCAGAGAAGTGGAAGCAGCGGGGTGGGAAATCGACAGGGATCTAGCCTGTTGATTGGTACCTGGTCTAGGTAGCTGAATGGAGAGCATGGTCGGAGTCGAAGAAAGATTGATAGGTATATCCATCCGTACACATCATGTATGGATGTATGAATGCTGCATGTATGTATGTATGTATGTATGGATGGATGTATGGATGGATGTATGGATGGATGTATGGATGCATGTCAGTCAGAAAATACATTATTGCCTAGGTAGGTAAGAGGTAAAATCCAGAGAGAGAAAGGGCTCACTCAGGGGGGGGGGGAGGATGGGGGCGAGAATGGCGGGTGTTGGAAATAATGGAGAAAATACAAATAGAGCTAATTATGGTAACTAAATGGTAAATAATAGAAGAAAAAGAGAAGAGACGAGCAGGAACAAGAAACAGAAGACGATCAAGAAGAACCAAGAACAAGACAAAGATCCTGATTGAAATCATATGCAGGATCGTAGAACATGGGTGGTGCAGCAACTTAAGCACTTGTGACTTGGTTACTGAGTAGGTACAGTACCTAGTCCACGGTTAGTAAGTTAGTCAACTTAACTAACATGAACTTATCTAATTCCTCTAATTCCTCCGTAACTTAGTGCCTCTCAGCTGTGCCCGTACCATGCTTCGGTTTGTCGCATTGTTTTCTCCTGTCCAGTTTGTCAGAATGTACAGTACTTGGATGTTGAAATAAATAGCTGTGCAGTATTAGAGTAAGTACTCCGTACATTGCATTAAACTGGTTCCATCATTGCGGTTCGAGTTTACCTGAGGTGATGTACATACATACATGTAGTTACAGTACCTACCTACCTGCTAAGATAATAGTGGAAGATCGAAGATGATTGCCCAGGGTACAAAATTGTAGGTAAGATCCAAGCCTTCGAAGGCTGATGAACATCTTTTCTGCTTCCATTATTATTTGCTCACCTTATTTAATTTTCATCTTTTCCACTCTACTTTCTGCTTACTCTAGCTTTTCTCTCACTTTCTCACCCATCTGCTTCTGTTGTTTTGGCCCCGTTCGCACCTCAGACATTACTGGGGCGAAAATTTGGTCCTTTTGAGGGCTGCATGGTGAACGCCGTGACTGACTAACTAGTTAGTATGTAAGTTACTGTACAGAGTACTCCGTAGTTACTCGTGGACACTTTGGCCCAATCGCGGAATGTGTGGTGACCTTCCGATCGGGCTGACTGACTATCACCCACCACATTGAAGGATACGGAGGTTTTATCCTTCTTGTTTTTATTTTTCATTTTTGGCTTTCCACTTTTTTTTCTCTTTCTTTTTTTTTCTTGCTAGCAGCGGTTAGTGTACACTGTATAGAGTTACAGGCACACGGCACATATTTAGTACGTATGACTATGTATGCAAAGTATGTATGAACATACTCATCATAGTGATACTCCGTGGTGTCGACCCTCCTCCGCACAAATAGGCGGTGCGGAATATGTAGCTTTTGACACAGGTTCATTTATGAGTAGTAGTAGTACCGGTAGTTAGTAGTAGCTTGGTTTAAGGTAATCATAGTCCTGTACCTGACTAGTAAGTTACTGCGTATTCCGTAGTATTAGAGACGACGGAGGACTATCCCAGGCTCCGAGCATGTTTGTTTTGAGACCGGAATAGCGAGGTATGACAGCCCTCGTTTATGAAGATAAGACATTGTCTCTTTTCACTCTCGACTGCCATGCTGCTTACCTAACAGTAGATCAAGTTTCTCGTATTGCAACTGCGCGGTTCTTGGAACAGCTAGGATACCCCAGTCATTTACGCAGGCCCCTACCTGGGCTATCGGGATCTATCTCGGCGAATGGGGGCTTGTTTAGAGCATGGATCCCTCGGGAGCTCGAAGGATCACGATCATCACCTGATTGATTGTATGTAGATCATGGCAGGGTGGCTCTAGTGCACGGATGCGGATAGAGAGGAGGAGGCGGCGATGTCAATTATGGGATTGAATTCTCGATGTCAAGAACGGGGTTGTCATCAGCATCAGACTCTGAGGTATGCCGACTCTACTTACTCGTATTAGCAGTAGAATGTTCGTAGTCTATAGTGAGCAAACCACTGACATCAAGCTGATGTGTTTCTTGCTGGGTGGAGTAGAAGAGAAATTAGACAGGAGATTCCGAGGACGGAGACCGCCCGCAGGCGATCAATTACTTACCTACGGAGTACCCATGGAGCACTCCGTAGACAGACCACGGAGTAAAGTACTGTACATGCATGGTCTACCTATCTAGTAAGTTACCTACCAATTTAGTATCTCGTACAGTATTGTACCTACTGCTCATTCAGCCTTCCTTCGGCCTTCGTGCAGCCTTCAAAGTTCAGGTCCATCAACCCCAGGCCCCAGGCCTTGTCATTTCCTCTTCCCCGTGCACTTGAGTTTTAGAGAGGGCTCATTCGCTGCTCCACTCCACCCACCACTATGCTTTAGCCTAAGCACGTAGACTAGTCGAGACACCGCAAGCAAAATTGAAATCAATTTATTTTATTCGTTATTGTGTAAAAATAAAACAAGAATTCGACAAAAAAAACATTTGGGCAAAATGAAAAAAACTTGCGACAGCCGCGACTGGCGACAAGGAATTGTCTGCCTGCCAATATCCTTCCCGCCCAAACCCCCTTCCCTTCGTCCATCCTCCCCTTCCATTATTGTCCGCCATGGACTTTTCTTGATCACTTCGTGGACACTGCGGGGAGGGTCTATCATTCTCGGTCACTCAAGGCTATCGTAGGTAAAGTTCCGTTGCCTTGGCTCCTCATGTCGAGTGACAGCTCGGGATATGGGACCTATAACTTGGAATGATGGACAGTAACTACAGAGTAGTCATCATGCTGCAACCAGTAAACCAATACCCGCCATAACTAGGTATATATTTATCCTCCTTTCCCCGAGTCAGGATAACAATAAGGTACTGAGTAACGATGCTCGTGCTTTAAAGGGCCCTGGTTAGAGTCCTAAGGGCGAATCTCACTGTTGGTGAAAGAAGGTGGGTGCTTGATCAAGTGGTGATAGTTAATTACTCTTACATGGCCTCTATGAGAAAAGGGGACGATCGATCTATTGGAATACATTAGCAATCTCGATTGAGTGTTGATTTAAAAAAAAAAGAAAAGAAAAGAAAAAAAAAGTAGTGACGGGCCGGGCCTTCTTTATCTTGGGATTGTCAAGTACGTATGTACATACAGTACTGTACTATTGACCCTTCCCTGTGCTGTGGAGTCCGGGTTGGGGGGATGAAAACGAGGCGCTCTTGGTCCTTCCATGCTGAAAGCTCCGTCTCAACACTGGAGCAAGCCTAGATGTACGGAGACTGTGCTCCATAGAGTTAGCGAACCATCAATCTGAAAAATAGGACGCTGGGTTGTCTCATCTCCGGTGGTCATTGAATTTCTGGCTAATATTACCGCTGGCGGCTGATCTGCGGTCTACATGAGTATGTAGACAGGCAAACAGGACAAGAAGACGCAATCTGGAGGCAAAAGAAGGACCATTCCCCTGGATATGTCACAAGGCAATGATACAATACATTCGACCCCGATCAACATCCTCTAAAATCATAAGCCAAGCAGCTTTTTTTTGCTCTTCATCCATTCTTCTTATTTGACCCTTCAACCCTATCTCCCTCTGTCTGTAGGAAGTTCGACTTGCAATTGACCTATTCATGCACGCTATACAGTAATCTCTAACTTCCTAGTTTTAGCCTCTAACCACTTACTTTACTTGTGGTCTCCAAGTAACCTGATATCAGGAGTAGTTCATGCACGATCTGCGTGGATGTACAATGCATTAGTATAATTGTAGCAACCAATATTTTCTCCATGTGCGTAGGACAATCAGCAAAGAGCAAAAGCCCTCAGCTGTTATCGCCGATATGCCAGGTCAGACACTTACAGTAGGGAGGGGTACCTACCTAGGTACCTACCTCCACCAGGCTACTACTAGGTACTACCTAGTAAGGTAGGTAGTAGTCATCACAAAGCCAGGCCGGGATGGAAATCAGCCGCCAATGGCTTCTCCAAACTGTTGCCGCCACCGAGACACGAGTTGATTGGCATCCCCTTCACGCCAGACTCTTTAGGAGCAGGTATCTACGGAGTACATCAGTTGATACCTAGTACTTTATGAATCCCGAGTCGATCATTCAACGCCCTTCATCTTCCTGTATATTTTTGGCAATCCCTCGTGAACGCCATAGAATCTCTCCATTTGTTTGTTCTAACTCCGCGACTAACGCTACTAACTACTAGGCCACTTGTGTGCTAACAATTTCAGCCATGAAATACTCGTATTAAGCCCATCGCCCCTCCCCAAATACCTTGTACAGTACAGTGTACAGTATAATATTTACAGTATATTGCTAATGCCACAGTCTGGATAGAGCATACCAACCCCATCGCAAAGTCGGGGCCAGCACTTTGTACTGGACGTACTGGAGATCTTCCGTCCCTACCGGACACACAGACTCGTATTGAATGTGCTTTGGAGGGAAAACTAGAATCGTACTTCGTAATTGACTTACTGAATATGTAGGTGCTGACTGTCCCTGCATTGGCCAAATTGCAATGGGCTCGACACCCCAGCTGGGTTGTCAACCGGCAGTTGTGGTGCGTGTTTTTTCAGGTAGCCAAGATACGGAACCTAGACGTCAGCGTGGTTTAGTGGTTTAGTTCAGCAATGTTTTAGCAGGGGTTTTGTGTCATCTCCATAAGCTGAATGCTTGATGGCAGCCCCATTTAGTGTTTAACTTCAGATCAACCGATCAACTCCCTATGGAACTGTGCTGACATACACCTGCAGATGAATCGTGGCTTGACACCAGTGCTCGATGCAATCTCAGAATCCCTCCAAGGGGGGGTCGGGGGTGCTTTGCCCCCTCCCAAAGAAAACGAAAGACATATCTGGTTTCCGAAAAAAAGGCTATAGATCCTGATCTTACTTTCAAATCCCGCACCCATGTGCTAGAACTCAAGCCATAAGACTAAGTTACATCTTCTTTTCCCTTTTGGTGGATATTCCTGCAGAGTGCGCACTGTTGCAGAAAGACAGACCATCAAGACATTAGGGTTTACAGCCTGCTTCGGGTTATAGCTACCGTCGATCAGTAGTAAAGTCCAGAGCATATACTAGACTATTGTGTATCTGATTCGCAAACGAGGTAGCTCCCTCGAAATCGCCTGTTATGGCCAGTTGTGCCACCCTCCCCAAGCTAAAATGTAGGTAGCATGAAGTCTACACATATATCATTCACGATTCACAGTGCTTTCATCATTAAGGCAATTAGCCTCTTTGGAAGACAAATTCATTACCGGAAATTCAGCGGGTGATTACTACCAACACAGCCCGTAGACTGATTTCGCTTTTGGTTGTTGGGCTGCGCTTTTAAAGGCCAAAGACCAGCCCTGTAGGATGGCCACTTACCCAACCGCGCGCGGGAGTCGGGAAAGGACGCGATCATCCTTCGGCAACGCAAACACCCTGAAGCAGAACGAAGCGAGCAGCAAGTTTCAAAGTCAAGGCAAGAACAGCAGTTACGAAGACAGAAGACATTTCACATTTGCGCCAAGGCTTTCCCAATTTCAGCCCAATTACCGTCCGGTGTACGTAGAGTATCTAGAAGAGAAAAGAAGTGGAAAGACCCGAATGATTAGCAACGCTCATGAAAGGTATAAAACAGGTGGGAAACAGTCCGTCTCATGATGCTGATCTTATGATCACGGGTACTGAAACTTACCTCCAGATTCTTGCCCGCATATCACCGCTGCCTGTAGCGAATAGATTGTTGGTGGGACTAGGAGCCACAGAAATGACTAGAAAAGGGGTCAGTTAGGAAGCACACCAAATAGCAAGGTTGCTCGGGAGAGCGTACCTGAGTTTTTATGACCTTGAAGCATCATCTGTGCGTTGCCAGTGATTGGATCCCAGAATTGGACGCCTCTATCCTTGGAGCCACTCATAACCCAGTGGCCATCAGGGGTCAAGCAGACACTAAGCACAAAATCCTGACCGTAAAGTTAGCTACTACAAAGCTGCGGTGATAGCAGAAAGACAAATTACCTTGTGACCCTCAAAGGTACGGACACATTTCCCTCCTTTGACTCCACTTCCTGGGTACGCGCCACGGGGAACATTGAGCTCCCAGAGCTTGATGGTTTTATCGAGACTGCCACTGACGAGGTCCCTACCGTTGGGTGCAAATGCGACCGAGTAGACACTATCCTTGTGGCCATCAGGGTTTTCCAGGCGCTCCACAAGGTAGCCGGTGGTCGTATCCCAGACCCGAACGCTCTTGTCGAGGGAACCCGCAGCGACGTAATGACCATCAGGTGACATGGCCACAGTGGTCACACCATCTTCAATGCTCAGGGTGTAAACTAACTTGCCGTCGAGAATGTCCCAAAGACGGACAGTCTTATCTCCACTGCCGGAAGCGATATAGCGGCCATTGCCCGCAAAGTCCAGAGAGTATATGTCCTGCTCGTGGCCACTGAAAACGTGCTTGATAGTCCGAGAACTGATGTCCCAAACCTGGAAAATATTAATTAGCTTCCGTAGTAGGTGGGTTTCGCCAATCGCCTTGTGTAGGCGAATCCGTAAACGTATAGCAAGTTTCGAACGGTTGGGCCAAGGGGAGAAAACAAAACTCATGCGCAGTAAACGAGGAGGATGAGTAGGGGTGGAAAGGCGATGCTGCCAGGCAAGCTTTCGCCTCCTAAGGATGATGCAGAGCTAGACGTACCCGAATCTGTTTGTCTTCCGCACCCGTAGCAAGATACTTGCCATCCGGGCTGAAGCAAACGCTGCGAATGTACAAATCGCCGTTCTTATCGACTGTTTCGTCTTGCAGAGTGGCGACAACCTGACCGCTAGTAACATCGTAAATCTGTGCCTGACGGTTACAGCCAGTGGCAAGGTATTTGCCATCTCGGCTAAACCTGACACAGCAGACGACGCTGTCGTGGACGAGATGATGGACAAGTTCGACATCTAGTACGCGCTGCACTTCCGGGTTGAACACAGCATACCAATCAGCGCCCTCCCGCTTCTGTGAAGCCGGTAGCTCGTCGGGGTTCCAGTTGGCAAGCATGTTCCCAGGGCGATCGCGGACCAATGACTGAGTAGGAGGGGTCGGCCGAGCCAGTTGCGGGGAGACGCGTGGGTCGGGATAAGCGAGCTGATGGGTCTGCTGGGGGGTAGCCGGGCCAGGAGGGGCGCGAGGCCGCTTACCAGGACCTGGGGAGGCAGCAGGTGGAGGAGGGGGTCCATAGCCTGGACAATGGTAAGGCACAGCCAAGTTAGTCACTAGGAGTTCTGTTTCCAACGCCAAGTCGCAACGTACCGTTCACAGCAGCACCAGGTTGATATCCTCCGAACGAGCTCTGCGGTGGTTGCGGCGCTCCTTGCTGAGCCGCGGCAGCAGGTTGTTGAAGAGTATGCTGGGGAGGCTGCTGATCCTGGGGAGGGGGAGGGGCAAGACCGGGGCCACTACCTCCTTGATTGGTCATGATACCGCCGAACAAGTTGCTCGGACCATGACCCAAGGCAGGCGGCGGCGCCTGGGAAGGGCCAGCGTGCTGGGCAGGGCCGGTGATATGCGATGAGACGGGTTGGACACCGCGAGACTCAAGCTCGTGTCGCAGCACTCGAATTTCCGCTTCATAGCTGCGAAGCAACAGGCATTAGCTTTCCTTGTGTCATGCGCACTTAAAGTAATCCCCGGATGTGATAGGTCACGCACTCGTTCTTCATCTTCACTTGCGTCTGCTCCAGCTGAAAGATTTTTTGCCGGATCATTTCCATTTCCTGCAGCTGTCCGGTTACTAGACATTCGATTAGCAAGCGGCACCTCGAGGAAGTGGCCCTATGTGAGTTGTTTTTCTAATTCCCTCCGATTTCCCCTCCAGTAGATCGTTATAACGCGATCGAGGAGGTAAGGGAGATAGTTGGTCGCAGAACCAATGCAGGGATCCACGTTAAAATAAAGAAAGGCCAGACGTACATTGGTGTTCAAACTCGCCAGTGCTTCTAGATTGGTTCTCAAATTCCTGACGGAGCTGGTCCAACAACTCTGTCAGGCGAGAGTTGGGAGCGGGAACCATCCCGCGATGAGTGTTATACATAGCGCACAGTTATGGTTCAGTGCTGTCGCGTGAAGAAGCCAGAGAAACAACTCTGACAGATCGACTTTCGGGGAGAAACACGAGGACTAAAGGCAAAGAAAACCCAGGTGAGAGAGCGAAGGGGAGAAGAAAGAGGGAGGATGCGGTGGGATGAGAGAAGCAAGAAAGTCGATTTGCTCCGCCTAACGGTTATATCTGTTGTTTGTTGTCTGTGATGGACTGACGAGGATAACAGGTTTTGGTGACAGGGCCACAGAGACTGAAAAAGGGTAATCAGTCAACGCAGCCACATTACAGCGCGCCCTGAAGGATTTGGCGCAGTAGTGAGCTTAAGTTGAGATCAAGGTTTCGATGATAAAGAAAAAGGGGATCAGCTCTGGAACCGATCGAGGTAGAGGTGAAGCTGAGGGAGAGGTGATTGAGGAGAAGAGATGTGGGACAAGGGAGGGGAGGGGGAAGTGTGATTGTGAATGAATTGAATATGATGTGATGGTGGGTTTGGGGGTGGGGGAGGGTGAAAGGGTAGGAAGTGGTGGATGAAATGAGGGAGCGGGTGGTTGAGTTTCTGAGGCTGAGGTAGGAGGAGGAGCCTGGAGGAGCCTGGAGGAGAAGGGTGTCGATTCAGCCCATGAGGTGACAGTTCGGTTTAGGCAAAGTACGGAACTCCGCTGGGATATCCCCGCTACCCAATCGCCACCCATGTTTGCCGCTCCAAGCGAGCGGCTGTAGCTCCGGACACAAACCAAGCGCTGCTGGCCAGTTGACCATTTCTTGGCCGGCTACGGAGCAGCAAGAACTGTTGTATCAATGGCTCAGTACTCGGTGGTCAACTGTTAAGAATTAGGTAATCTCTTATTGATCAGATCAGCTTTTTCATTCGGCTTGACGGGCAAGACTTGACGGATTATCAGTATCATTGATCTTGGTAACCTGTCTGAGTTGAGGAGGATTGCTCGCGGCTAGTGATACTACAGTAACTACCGTAGGTATATAGTCGCGCCAGTACTCAGCAGGCTTAACTCGCTTGATATTTATTAAAGAGTATCATCAGCATCCACTTGCATCTGGTTTACTTTTACTTTTTCTTTTTCTTTTTCTTTTTATTAGAAAGCCTAAGTTGGCTTGGTGCATACGTGAGTCTATTATAGAATTATAGATACATATATGTGCTCAATCCATGAACATACCTATATTAAATTTTGTGTATACTTGTAACTTATACTCCGTTCCCACTAGAGGCGAATAGCCAGCAACAAATTATCGATGACGAGCGGTTGGGTTTGTTCCGCTCTGGTGTGATCCCTCCGTCCTGAACAGACCATTAAGTTGATTGGCGTTCCTTGTATCGGATACTCCACCGGTGCCTGCATTATTTCTTCTAACTAGCTACGGAGTCTCCGTAGGTATTAACTTACTCTTCACGGCAAACTAAATTTACCCCTACTTTTGGCTCCTTACTACAGTACCTCTTCCTCCCTCTTTCATTTTCTAACTCTTCCTCATTCCCACTATCGTACTCCTCCTCCTCCTCCCCCTCATTCCCCCCCTCTCCTCTTTTTGTTCTCTCCCTTTCCTTTCATTTAAGGTCCCTGAAAACCATACTTCCTTCGTCTCTATCTTCTACTCGATTCCCCAGCGAAGGTCTTCTAATCCTTGTGGACGGTTGTTACTGTCGAGAGCCACCATCCCTCTCTGTCTCCGTTCACCATTCCCCTGTGGCGATCAGGACACAATTATGGATATCGCCCTCGAAATTTGGGACACCTTCATTGGTGATCGCCTCTACTCTTCTCTCCTCCCTCTGTCGCTCTCGTCCTCTGTCTCAATTCCAGGGGTTAATACGGCTGCCAATAGCACACTGTCTCTTTTTGGTGCATCCGAACCCTACGTCTATGAACCGGCCACGCAGCTGTTCTCTCTGGAGCCCAGCAAATACGCCTACCTGAGCGCTTGGCCGAGGAACAACATCTATCGTCAGTTTCTCAGCTTTTTTCTGATCGTCTGGTATGTGATGCGATCCCCACCTGTCGCGCATTCTCACTGCTAACTGAGACTGTCACGATATTAGGATCTTTGGTCTGATTGTCTACTTCATCTGTGCCACACTCTCGTACATCTTCATTTGGGACAAGACTACGGTTCGCCACCCCAAGTTTCTCAAGAATCAAATTCCCATGGAAATCGCGCAAACAATGCAATCGATGCCGGTCATGTCACTGTTGACGGCCCCCTTTTTAGTCGCTGAAGTCCGTGGCTACGCCAAACTCTACGATACATTTGATGAGGAGCCTTTCCCCTACTACAGCGTCCTGCAATTCCCACTGTTCATTGCCTTTACGGATCTTTGCATCTACTGGATTCACCGTGGCTTGCACCATCCCTTAATCTACAAGACACTACACAAGCCTCACCACAAGTGGATCATGCCCAGTCCCTTCGCATCCCACGCCTTTCACCCGCTTGATGGCTGGTCCCAAAGCGTCCCCTATCACGTCTTCCCCTTCATCTTTCCCCTCCAGAAACTTGCATACGTCTTCCTTTTCGGGTTCATCAATCTCTGGACTGTACTTATTCATGATGGTGAATACGTGGCCAACAGCCCAGTCGTCAACGGGGCCGCCTGCCACACAATGCATCATCTCTACTTCAACTATAACTACGGTCAGTTCACTACTCTGTGGGATCGTCTGGGTGGCAGCTACCGGAAGCCAAACGAGGAGCTCTTCCGCCGCGAGACCAAGAATGACCAGGAAGAATGGAAGCGGCAAACGAAAGAGATGGAGACCATTCTCCAGACGGTCGAAGGCGAGGATGATCGGAGCTACTTGGCCGACGGAGAGACCAAGAAAAGACTGTAATACAAGAATCATCTATGTGTCTCCAAGCTCGCCTATCACAATCAACACAGGGACCCCACATCAGCCTGTCGGTTTTAGATTTCGTCCTGGCTCTTCCAACTTTCCCCCTTGGGAATGATCCGATAAATGCGCAGCCAACGCTCATCGTTGGCCTCGAGAGCTCGAGAAGAAACAAACCCACCGTTGCCTCAAAACGTCCCGGGATCATGATTTGACGGCGTCGGATTCGAGTTTATGCGAAATTGATTCCACCCAACCGACTTCTGCTCCATGGCAGGGTGGCCTCACGAGTTCATGGTTCCTGCTTTCACAACACTTTTTTTGCTATCGCCATCACACTTCCTAATCACCACTGTACAACACACTTTCTGGTATGATGGTTGTCTTAATAATGCCTGTTCCGTACCTTACGTTCGTTGTCAAAGTGCTTCAATAAGCTGCGCTGGTGGCGCGACTTCGGAGTTACCCTCAACGCTCCAGTTAGGTATCCCTGCAGTTCTGCTTGTACATACATTTTATATATTTTTCCCCGACCCCAGAACTGGAAACAAATAGATCATTGGATCTTCGGACGCAATACAATCACGAGTCTAGAGCAGTCGAAACCTAAAATTGAATTGACGACGACAGCGACATTTTATGGGAAGACAGCATGGAAAGACTACATGATGCGAAGCATGGCTTTGGTGTTTCTTTCGCGGCTCGCTGACATCTGGAACTTCTTAGCCGAGCCCCTTTCGCCCTGTCCTTGTGGATTTTTTGAAATGAGCCTGCCTCTACACCACGTCACCGACGCCCAAGACATCAAGCTTCTATCTCTCATAGTTGGGGTGTTTTTCCTGGATATCTTCCAAAAGATTCGATCAGAGGGAATCCATACATGTCACTCTAAATTGCGCTGATTCGCTGGCTTGATTGATCTTACAACGACACATACTCACACATACGCACCTATGGATACAAAGCAAGAACCAAGCCCAATTTAGACAAATACAGACGGTCCCTATCATACCACAGAGAACTGGAAGTTGCCACTCGGACCTTGTAGACTTCTTATTTTCCACCGTCACCCTCAACAATATCCATATCTCCGTTCAACGGGGCATGCTCCGAAGCAGCGGCATCATCAGGGACCGGAGTAGGTGCTACCGTACCGACCGGAGCTGCTCCGACCAAGGCCTCGACAATGAAGGACTCCTCAACGCCAGCTTTGCGCCGGAATACCCTGAGCCATCGCTGACCCCAGCGCCGGATGATCTCATCTTCAGGTAAGGTACCACTTCCGTCCCCCCTTTCCATCAGTTCGTCATTACTGCCGCCAGCAACCGACACGATGGAGTCCTCAATTACCCGGAAAAGGGCCTGCATATCGGTCTTTTCGCGTTTCAGAGTCTCGTCCAGGACGCTCAATTGAGGCTCGTACAAACTAGGCTGAGTACGGGCAGCAACGATCTGTCGTAGGCGATTTGTGACCTTCCCAACGGTGGCGGATATCATCTCGAAGACGTGCGGTTTGGCGAGAACCGTACCTGCCTCGAGCTTGTCGACTAGGGCCCATTCGACAACTGACAGCGGTGTAAGGATAGTGTAATTCAGGAGTTTGTCGATAATATTTATACCGATGCCTGGCTGATCGACCCAGTAATCCATGACGGATGTGATAATTTGACGCCGAGCCCGAGGTGACTTAGGGCCGATGGCCAATAGTCGCTCCTTGTTACGCTCAATGCATGAGAGGAAATGAGATAGAGATTTGGATCCCACAAAGCAAATCGCCGTGACAAATGCGTCGGTGGATGGAATCAGCGGATCCTCGACCCCTAAAGACTTAGCTTGCTCTTCTATCGCATCGATAAAGGGTTGTATCTCCTCGTCGCTCGCTTTCTTTCGAACAAGCTGCATAATTTCCTTGCCTTCGTTCGAATACGGTGTAGCTGGACAGTGTGTCAATTCACTGGTCATGTAGATGAGACAAACCGGGAGATAGTAGAGCAGCGAGAGGGAAGAGAATAAAGGGTAAGATATGGGGCATGATAAACATACTGTCGGACATGTACTTGAAATCAGGAGTGTCTTTCTCCTTCCCCTCCGTAACCAATTCTTGATATGGGTCCGGTAAAGTTCCTCTGATGCGCTGAGCAAAACTTAATCTGATCTCCTTGTCGAGCGCTCCGGTTATGAAAGCCATTCGAGGGTGGACTGCAGGTAAATCCAGATCCTCGATCCTGATAACCAAGTTAGCTTACCAGCTGAAGCCAATGGAGTTTGCTCTATCTTACCATTCACT